AAAAAAAAAAAAAAAAAGTCGACGAAGAAAAGGTAAAACCTACCGGGTAATTTTTTAATGTGTCGTGGTGTAGGTCAATGGCACGTGGCGTTGGATGCTTGGAATTGCTGGTCTTCCGGCCTTAGTTCAGTTCATCTTGATGTTGTCGCTCCCCGAGTCTCCAAGATGGCTCTACAGAAACGTAAGCATTTTGTTATTGGGCAAAAATGCATTTTTAGTCCTGTTGGTTTTAACTCCATAGCAATTTTAGTCTCAAAGTTCTAACTTTTCGCCTTTTGGTCCTATATTTTAAATTACAGGACTGAAGTTGCGATAAAATTTTAAATTACAAGACTTAAAATTGCTAATAAAAAAAATCCAACCCAAAGATATAAATCGAGAATTTGCTGCATTCCTCAAAGGATTGAAATTGCAGCAAAATATTAAAATTACATAACCAAAAAGACGAAATGTTAGAATCTCAGGACTAAAAATTGCTATGGCATCAACAAGCAGGACTAAAAAAAAAAAATTCCGCCTCGTCATTGTAATGCACTTAGGGTCCACCGGATACATACATCAGTAAATGAAAGGAGGTTCCACTAAATATATTTCTCAAAAAAAAAAAAATAACAAACATTATTCGTACCATGATCAGGGCAAAGAGGACGAGGCAAGGTCCATCCTCGAGAAAATCTACCCAGCCGAGGAAGTCGAGGTCGAGGTCCAGTCCCTGCATGACTCGGTGGAGCAAGAAAAGCGCGAAGGGGCAAACGAGACGGGTTTCTTCAGCCAAATCGGGAGCGCGTGGAAGAACGACGTGGTGAGACGTGCCCTTTACGCGGGCATCACAGTCCAGGTGGCACAACAATTCGTGGGCATCAACACAGTTATGTACTACAGCCCAACCATCATGCAGTTTGCCGGTTTTGCATCCAACAAGACAGCCATGGCTCTCTCTCTTGTAACCTCCGGCCTTAACGCCCTCGGGACAGTTGTCAGCATGTGCTTTGTCGACAGGTATGGAAGGAGACGGCTCATGATAATCTCCATGATTGGGATAATTTCCTGCTTAGTCGTGCTCTCTGCTGTATTCTATCGCTCGTCTGTGACGGCCCCAGGGATTAGTCCTACTGAGACTGTGTCTTTTGGCGGAAACTCGACTTGCCAGGCGTACACGAATGCCCCTGATGCCTCATCTTGGGGCTGCATGAGGTGCCTGCAGGAGACCAATTGCGGTTACTGCTCGGCCTCGGGAAACATTGTAAGTCCGAATTCTGTTCCCAGTCCTTCTGTTTCATTCTATCTTCATCGTTTTTTTTTTTTTTTTTTNTTTTACTGGGAATCAATTTATCTGTGTCCTCTTTCCAATAGCAATGAGTTTAACAACATTTGATTGGACGGTCGAATGATTTTTTTTATTGAAGTTCGACCAATAACTAAGCATCCGACGCACTTTATTAAATTTAGAAGCATAAAAACACCAACAGTTAAAAATTCTCAGAAAAATCCAAAGACTTTTTAACTCAACTATTTTTTTTTTTAACTCTACTCCACTATCATCAATATTTTCAATTATAATTAAATAATATCAATCAACCACTCTTGCACACCACAATATCAACTTTAATTTACTATTCATCCACTCACATAATTTTAACTGACCATCACTTCACATCATCTCTCTCATACTTCTACATCAAATTAACTTTATTTATTTTATTTCAAATACTATACCCACTAACAACTAACTATACCACCCTTTTCAAAATTAACCAAATCAAACCAAAAAATCCAAACAAAACAAAAAATTCTCATACCCAAGCATCTTTTTCAATCCATGTGAAGAAAGCCTAAGACGCGGCTATAACGAAGCATAAGTAGTATTTTATTTTATTTATTTATTTTTTCATATTTTGGAAGTAAAAACAATGAATTTTTTTTTACCATTTTTTCGGCAGTACCAACCGGGAGCATGCCTAGCACTCGACAATGTAGTGAGAGGGACATGTCGGGCAGAAAAAAGAACATGGTACACGGAAGGCTGCCCGAGCAGAATCGGGTTTCTGGCAGTGGTTTTCCTTGGTTTGTATATCATTATGTATGCTCCTGGCATGGGGACTGCCCCATGGATAGTCAACTCCGAGATATATCCACTAAAGTACAGAGGACTCGGTGGAGGGATTGCAGCTGTGTCTAACTGGAGTTCGAATCTGATAGTCAGTGAGACATTCTTGACACTCACTGAACACCTGGGCTCTTCCGGAACATTCCTCTTGTTCGCAGGCTTCTCATTCGTCGGGCTCGTTGCCATTTTCTTCCTTGTGCCAGAAACCAAAGGGCTGCAGTTTTCGGAAGTGGAGAAGATGTTGGAGAAAGGTTACTCTCCTTTCAAGAAGAGTGAGAAAGAATCCAAAAATGGTGACAACCACTAAAACAAATCTCTACTCAGGAATTCATAATGAAATGTACATGTGAAATTTTTTTGTGATCTAGTTCTCACTATTATTATTATTATCAAGTCATTAGAAGACAATATTGTAAGCTTGTAATTACCCCATCTTTAAATAAAGCTATTTTGGAGTTTGTGTAGTAGCTGGCGATTTCTGAATCATATACACATATGGGCTTATAGCCTAACAATATAAGTAAGAGAAAGTTGGAAAATCTGATTATGAAACATGTTCTTTCGGCAGTTGGTTGTTGAAAATCTTCATCAGGTGACAATGTCCTTGTGCCCAAGTGATGTGGCATTCTAGGTAATAGGGAGTAAATTTAATCTCCTAGTACGAAGAGGGCGTGAATGTGCTGTGTTATTCACCAAAATCTCTTGATCTGGCCTTCTGTATTTTTACAATCTATATACTGTTCTAGACCATAATATTATTGCTTACACTATTTACATGGTTCGTAATTCAGTCAGTCTTCCTGTTTCGTACACGACTAGGCATGCATTAATATTGGACATCAATATGTGATTCTTTATAAAAGAAGTTACTTTTTAAGATGATAATAATTTGAGAAAAGTAGCAGCAGAGATCAAATAATATTTGAGAAAAAGAAAAAAAAAATCTATTATTGCACAACTTCAATGCTATTTACGTTTAGGTACAAAAACAACAAAACAAAAAACTTTCTATTCTTTCCACTTAAGTTTTGCAGTTGCATGCAAAAAACTGTTTTCGACAAGAAATTTAGACTATTACGAACAGAACCTTCTTTCAAGAGAAATGCTCTACTCTTAGACATTTAGAAAAAAACTAGGAAAGATAGGAGTAAATAATCAAATGCTGCATTCAATAGACACACTGGAACATGTTGGATACATTCATATCTACATCAGTAGGCAATGTAAGTCCAATCACTAAGTTTAGGCCTACGACTTATCTGTCTAGGTATTTTCTTATACATTTAGACTCTTATAAAAGTGTTCACTTTATCCTCTGCTTGTTTGTCCAACTGTAAACTGGTATGCTGTTGATGTTTAGGGATGACATCTCAAGTTAACTAAAAATTCCCAAATTTGAATCTCCGCAACTGTAGTGTTGTTAAGTTGAAGTCTATTACATGCCATTTTTTTCCTGAACCCTAACTAGATCTGTTTCAATTTGATGGAAACCAATGCCAAAAGCCACATGAGCAGACATCTAGCAACACGATACAAATTAACATGGAGGCAAGTTAATGTAAGCAACAGTCACAAGTGAAGTTAGAGAAAAAGAACGAACTGGAATGAAAAGAAAAACGAGGCCTTTTCAACAATGTTTTCAAATAAGCACAACTACTAATATACAGCTATTAATATTGTCACTTATTATAAGAAAACGTAATACCAGAAAAGGTTCAGATTCCAGACCTCAAGTGGTAACAAGCGATAATTGAGATACCACAAAGTACAACATTGTCAACATTGAAGTTGCACATTAGTGCAATTAAGTTCACAACTCGAAGCATTAACTCACATCATCTTTGAGTGAGTGATCCACATTCCACATTAACACAAACTAACGAATTATCCACTACCAAGAGTTATACCTCAAAAGCATGACGTTTATACCAAAGTATAATTTTGTTCAATGCCGTTGGATGTACTAAAATGATTCTGAAGGTCAAGAAGTTTATCCACGATTAAATTAGATCAAAACCCAAAAAAAAAAAGAATATATTTGCGCAGAAACAGCATCAAAGGTTTAATTCTTCCCTTCCAAAAATTCTTGCCCATGTCAAAAGACAACTATTTTGGCATTTTCACAGTTAAATTTTTTTATCCAACGTATAAAATGTTCATCGCCAAAGTCTGTCATCACCAAGAACACCTAAAGTAAAACTTAAAACCACCGTGATAAAACATATATAACATCTTAAAAATTCCAGAGGATCTGAAATAAACAAGAAATAAAGAAAGTAACCACACAAATAAAATCCCATCCATCAAATTCCAAGATATCAAAACTTCAAACTAAAAATGGAAACAAAAAACATAACAATGACCCGTAGCAAAAACAAAGAATCAATAATAAAGATAAAGTGACATGAGAGATGCAGGTTTATCAGAACATGGAGATTACCAACTTCAAGGGCGTGGGCGTTAAAAGCTCTAACAGGTACATTAATCAAACTTGATGAAGAATCTATTATTGTAACCACACCCAAATCACTCTAGTACAAAGATATTCAAATTGTAAGCAAATGAAAACAAGTCAACGCCCTGAAAAGAGTTCAAATATCAGAGATCTGCTAACTTCTGAAGTAGAGAGCTCAAAATCCACCAAATGTATTAATTCTCGGAAATTAACTTTCAGGCTCAGTTTTTTGAAATTCAAATAAAAAAACAGAAAAAGTAGTGGAATTCCAAAAAATTATAGAATCTATGTGAAACGATTAGACAAGAAAAAAAAATCGAGAGGTAAAACGGGATCACTGCACGCAAAAATGACGAGAGTTAGCAGCTACGATTCATGTGAACTCCGCTACACACACCTCAATTTTTATTTTCCAGTAATAGATGGAATCAACGTGTATGTTAATACTTATTTGGCAGGGGAGCAGCCGAGCAGTGGCAGGACCGCAGGAATAAAACGGAGCGCATTTCTTTTTAATAAAGAAAAATTAATGAGTTTTTTGTTCTTTTTGCTCTATTGCTGTATGTATCTTTAGTTGGTCTATGATAGGTTTTGTTTAGTAGCTTCTGAGTTTTGATGTTGTTAGTGGTTGTAGCTTAGTTTAGTTTATTTCTTTATTGGCCTCATATCCCCTGGTGAAGTTAAACCCAGGTGGATCAATTGTAATTTTGTTCTTCCAAGTCTTTGCCTTTTGTGAATAAACTTATTGTTT